AGGGCAGAGTGAGATTTGTTCACTGCACAAGGGCGGCAAGGAAATTTAGTCAGCACACTTAAATAAAAAATAAACAAAAAAATATATATAATACCAAAATTAATTTTTTTTTTTTAAATACAAAATTTATGTAAATTTTGTATTTGTAAATTTAAAAAAATAATTAATTTTACAATTTATAAACACAGTTTTTGTAAACTAAACTTTTGCATTTGAAAATAAATAAAAAAATTTAAAAAAAATTTATATATATTTCTTTTATGTTTTAAGCAAATATAACATAAATTATACGCTTCATTGCAAGATTCATTTTTGATTTTGTGTTATTTTTGGTTTACTTTACCAGCAAATTTAGTTTACCGAAAGTATTTTTAATTTCTTAAATATAAAAACATTAACAACTTATTTTAAAGTTTTCTATGTATCTAGCATAACACTTAAAATCTAAGCCTGATATATTTTTTTGCTGCAATCTTTTGAACCTTTGGGAATCCTGTGTTAAATGCGGTATCATCAGGCTAGGTAACATCCTGGTACAAACATATATATATACATACATACATACATACATACATACATACATACATACATACATACATACATACATACATACATACATACATACATACATACATACATACATACATACATACATACATACATACATACATACATACATACATACATACATACATACATACATACATACATACATACAAACATACATACATTTAGTCAACCTGGTTTTCAAAGTAAAAAAACTTAAAAATAGAAACTGTTTTTATTAAACTATTTATAAAATAAATTGCTAAAAATCTCACCATCCATTTATAACACCATCTGGGTTAAGCATAGGAACAATTTTAAAAACAACAGCAGATCTCAAAGAGCACGCTTCCTCAGAGTTACTTGTGAGAAAGTCCAATATTCCTGAAACATATCAAAATATTACACTATATTAATAGAATAAACAAGACTTTTAATACCATTTTTAAAATGATTAAACAATTATTTTGTTATGTTCTAAATGTTTATACAATTTTTTCCTTTTGAACTAATGTTTAACAATGTTATTAAAAAAAAATTATTTTTTTGAACCAATAATGTTTAACAATGTTATTAAAATTATTTTTAAAAATGTCTAACATTATTTTTTTACTGTTAAAAAAAATAATTTATATTTTTATTAAATAAGTTTTAATATAACATAAATCATATAAATAAATTTTATTTTATAACATAAATCATATAAATAAATATTAATTTATGCTTAATCTTTTTAAATATTTTAGGTAAGTTTCATAAACTCGCTTCATAAACGAGTGGTTCCGAGTTCGATCCCCACCACGTCCCTGGTAGTACCGCGCTCAACTCGTTTCTCCGCGCAGCAGCCTTGTTCGTCAAGGTTCGTGTTTCGGAGTTATAGAGTTGAGAGAGGGTTATAGCCACAAAATAAGTAGCCTCCTCGTCTGTAGTGGCCTTCTCGGCCTTGAGGAGGTGAAGTAAAATAAAAAAAAAAAAAAAAAAGTAGATAAAACAATAAATGGTTGTAAATACGTTTAGCTAGCAAAAACGTTTTAATATTATTGCATATAACACCTTTCATTATCCAACTTGAATTTGTTTCTCCTGGATGTACTCTGGCAGTCAGAAACACATACACCTTTTCTTTTTCATCTATTTCTTTTGATGTTATGGTGACTAAAGGTACTTTGTTCCCAGCTAAAGAACTACAAAGAACTTGTTGACAATAAAAAATTGATGGATCTAAAAAATCTTCGATATGTTGAAGATGGTTCTAAATAAGAATTAGTATATAAATATATATATATATATATATATATATATATATATATATATATATATATATATATATATATATATATATATATATATATATATATATATATATATATGTATATATATGTATATATATATATGTATATATATATATATATATATATATATATATATATATATATATATATATATATATATATATATATATGTATATATATATAAATATTTATATATGTATGCGTGTGTGTGCATATATATATATGTGTATATATATATATATATATATATATATATATATATATATATATATATATATATATATGTGTGTATATATATATATGTGTATATATATATATATATGTATATATATATATTTAATTGTAATATTTGTGTGTGTCACTTGTTTAAATAAATATATTAATAATATATTTAAAAAAAAACATTAAAAAAAACGATATGTTTGTATATATATATATATATATATATATATATATATATATATATATATATATATATATATATATATATATATATATAATATATATATATATATATATATATATATATATAGTATACATAAATGTAAAAAAAGTTTTTTTAAAAAAATATAAAAAAAAATATGAAGAAAAAAAGAAATATTTTTCTCTCTAAATGTCTAAACTAACCTTTAAAAGAGAATAAGTATAAGGATAATGGTATGCTAGATAACATGTATCTTTTGCATGTGGAAACGATATTGTAAAAGTAGCTGTATGGTAGTGTTTATGTGATGACAAGCCTTTGACATAGAAATTTTTGTAATAGCATATATTGGTCCCAGCTCTTATCCATCCTTGTCTTCTTTGTGATTGTCTCATAGAATAAAGCAATGGTTGCATCCCTGAAAAAAAATTAATTATTATATGTACAATTTAAATTTTTATTTTTTTATTTTTTTTTTTTAAGTAAAAAAAAATTGAACAGTGCAAAATACATAAAGTAACAAAAAAAAAATTGAAAAAACATTAAAAAAAAAAAGTAATTTTTGTAATAATTTTTTATTACAAAATTGTAAAAAAAACAAACAAAAAACAGTGATACAAAAACATTGGCTTTAAATTCTTCAGAAAAATAGATGCGCCACAAATCTTATAAACAACTTACACTTTATCTCTCATAGAAAATTTTACAGAAATTTTAAATTTTTAAAATAATTAAACTGTGTCAAAAATATCTAATAAAAGTTTTGAAAGCATTTTGTTTAGAAAAGTAACAAAAAACATAATACAGTACAAAAATTACAGGAAAAAAGGGACTGGGCTATAGAGCTCTCAAATAGTTAAAAAACAGCACTGCAATACAAAAAAAACATGTCAGTCTTACATATAGTATATTAGCAATCGTACCAAAGTTGAACTGACTGTTTGCTTTTTCACAGTTAATAATATTGAATCTGTAAGGTACATTTGGTTCCATATTACTAATCTAAATAAACAAAATTATATATATATATATATATATATATATATATATATATATATATATATATATATATATATATATATATATATATATATATATATATATATATATATATATGTATATATATATATATATATATATATATATATATATATATATATATATATATATATATATATATATATATATATATATATATTATATTATATTATATTAGGGTGATTCAGAATGAGAGAATTTTTAAAACAAAAATACGCTATATATTTGCACTAAATTTAATCTCATTAAATTTAGTGCAAATATATAGAAAGTAGGTTTTAAAGTATACTGGGCATTTTCTGACTACTCTAGACCCTCCCTCAAGACTCGTTTTTGCGAGAAAAATATCCATTTTTTTGTCAAAAGTTGCTGATTTCAGTGATGTCGAGGGAGGGTCTAATATAAACCAATTTGGCTGAATTTAAAAAAAAAGGGCCTACACTACATATATTTTCCATTTAAAATCATACCTATATTTGTTTTTGTTTTATTACCGAGCATTTATTATTATCCATTATTATCCATATAAATTATCCATAAATTTTCAAAATTTATGACTTTTATTGTGATATTAAGAAAGCATTTGGAATATACAAATACATTTTTTCTAATATAATAAAAATGTTTTTTGGTTAAAAATATTGTACATTACTTGCTACTTTAATTAGTTACGTATTTGAAGGTAAGTTTCTTTGACATTCTTCCATCCCCCTCCGCCTGCCATTTCCCAAAATAAAATAAATAGCAAGCCATTACACTTTATGTTCTTTTTAAAGTTTCCTATGAATTTATTTTTAAATAAAACACAATTAATATGAACCCTCTACATTGATTTAAAATTTGAAAGTGACATTTTTGATTTTGAATTTTAAAATTCAAAATAAAACTTTAAGTAACTCAGTTACTTAAAATGTTCAGTTACTGAACAAGTATTGATATGAGTGAAAAACAAAGAGTTATCAGAAACACAAGATTTTGCACAATAACAGTTTGAGATCTTTAGATGAGATTTTTTATATTATCGATAAAGCTATCCCTGCCATTTCAGGTATGTGTTAAATAGAAATAGAAATAATGTACAGTTATCGATTTGGTTTTATGATATTTTGTATTTACCTGAAAAGAAGTCATGGTCACTAAAACACATTTTGATCTCAATATCGATACCATCTCACTATTATACTCTGTAAGATAAATAATGCGCGCTTATTTATATCATTTATATAGTATTGGTAATGCTATTTTAATAAAAAAACCTATATAGTTTAGGAACGCAACTTTCTACGGATATGGATATCTTGCAACACTTTAAATATTTAAAATCAAATTTGCTAAATCGAATAACAAAAAAGTTTGATATTCTTTATTGTCCTCCAAAGTCTTAAAGGTTGATAGGTGTCAACTTAAAGGTTGATAGGTGTCAACTTAAAGGTTGATAGGTGTCAACTTAAAGGTTGATAGGTGTCAACTTAAAGATTGATAGGTGTCAACTTAAAGGTTGATAGGTGTCAACTTAAAGGTTGATAGGTGTCAACTTAAAAGTTGATAGGTGTCAACTAGTTGAATGTGAATGTATCATGGCGAAAATAAAACATCCATGGATTAAAACAGGGTTTATAGTTATTAGCAACGTAAATATTCAAAAATGTTTAAAAAACCTTGAGCAAAAGTATTCAAATTTATTAAAGAATGTCAAAAAGAACTCAAAACAAGATATTAAAAATCAAGTAGGATTTGAGAATTTTAATAAACGCATTTTTAGGATAGGAATTCCAGAACTAAAAGATTTTATTCAAAGTGACAAACTAAGACTCAATGAATCTAAAATCAAAGATTTACAATTCTTCGAAGATCAAGAAAGTCCAAGATTATATCATTTGGATCCTCTAGACACTAAATATACTAAGAAAGTAATTTGATTATGTTTTGGTTGTGAGAATTTGCATAGTGTAAATTTTATTTTTTTCAAATGTTTAGGCAGTTTTGCGTCAGACTAAATAAAATGTTCTCAGGGTAGATGAACTATTGAGTTACTTTATTATATGGAGTGAAGCATTAGTACATAAAATATTGATTTAATTAACTTTATTTTGTTTTTTGACTTACACTATGTTGATTCTCATCCACATATTTAGTCTTTAAATAATATACTCTTTATAGTTTGATAAATTTATTAAATATGCTCTAACTTTGTGTTTTTGTCAATCTAACAACTTATAACTAATAAATATATTTTTATGTAAGGTAAAACCATTAAATATAAAGAAGTGCAAAAATGCAATGAAAAATGGATCTCCGAGTAAAATTCTAAAATTTTACAAAGAAGACGTTAACAATAATGATGAACTAAGTTCAGATAACTTTTCTAATTATGACTTTGAGCCAGGTGAATGGATAAAAAGAAAAAATAAACCAAGCAATACAAAAATTCAGGCCAATATTACTTAAGATATTTAATAACAACTGTTAATAACATCTCTCCTGTGGTTCTGCAGAGAATTACAGCGGTGGTTGTTCAAGCTGCAGGAGTAGACATGAACGCCATCAAATCAAGTCTCTCAACTGCAGCTAGAAGAATAAAAAGAGAAAATAAAGAAATTTTAAATATTGCTAAAGAAGATATTATAACAAAAGTATGGTTATCTACATTCCCATAAAAATTAATTGTCTCAAATTATGTTTGAGACAATTAAAGAAAATAAACTAAAATACAAGCGACTAACGAGTTTTTCTAATTTATTTTTCCAGTAAATAATTTATCGTATGATTGATTGAAATCATGTAACACATATAAAAACATTATTGAAGATTGAAACACAAAGTAGACATGGAGCACATATAACAAATCCATTCTCAATCTGCTAATAAATTTAAACCTCTTCGTTTAAATTTTGACAAGAACAGTGGAACAAAGCACAACATTTTTTACACTTAACACTACTTCATCAAATTCATCAGCACTGATTTATGGCTCTTTAAGTATTGATTTATCACACTTTCCACAGAATGTTATAGTTACTAATAATAATACTGGAGAAACACGTTTTGGAAAAAATATCTAAATTTGTTTTCACCTTATCCCAGAGCTCTTGATCAAATTTGGCTAATTCAACATTTAAGTCTTTAAAAGGTTCAAACATTAAATTATGACAATCTGTGATTTAATTTACCATTTGGGAATTAATTTGAGTGTAATATTTATATCAACAACAAGAGGTTTTAGGCCTTTTAGAACTGGTATTTCTAGAAAGACTGTTAACTTTGGTATATATATTGTGATGTTTGGATGCAGTTATTATTCCTTTCTCATTTGAAACCATGTTTTTAGCTTGATCTCTAGCGTTATATTTTTAGTTGTTTTATCTGTTCATACCATTTTTTCTATTTAATGTTTTAACTTTGATTTAAACATTACAGCAGAAGGCTCGGATATACAGATGTTGTTTAAAAAGTTTCAAATGAATGTTTATTAAAGTTTAGTTAAAGTTATTAAACCATGAATTTCAATTCTTGGATCAAAATCTTCCAATGCATTCACTTGTGTTTTTTCCTTATTATTAATATGATTTGATTCATTATATGCTATTCTTTTTTTTAACAACTAGGCCGGTTATTAAACATGGTTTGATACCTTTTTGAGAGGATCTATTCCAGACACATGCTTGTTCAGTACATGCTGGATTACAACAACCTTTGTGGCTAGCATATTCCATTTTATAAAGAGTGGTAATGATATGGTTGCAAACTTCAAAAGCACCAACCATGTATGAACATCAAGCAGAAAGTCATTCCTACTAAAGGCAATCCTAATTTTTTTTTTCCTCGATTTTTTGTGAACTACAACTTTAGAATATGCAAACAAAATATCTTTTAAAAAACTAAAGTGCATAAAGGGCCTACAAAACCACTATCAAAAAATGAAAATGCTTTTTAATCTTTGTACTTGCCAATATATTCCAAATAAAAGTTTTTTTTTTAAGGATTTACAAAAAAATATTTCCCATATATAATACTAGACCACTCAGCTACTAAGTCTTTTCTGTTTTCCATAAGTACATAGGTCATTTAGATCTAAAGGTTTTAGTTTATAGATATGTGATTGTTTAAGTTTTTTTCCTGTTTTTATGCTGTCTTAATAACATTTATAATTCCATTGCAGTAAATACTCTAACAACAAGCTTGACTTTATGTTCAGTTGTACTTAACCCACAATTAGCTAAAAACCTAAAAAGCTGCTTGACAAGTAAATTTAAAAAATCTTCGTCATTTTTAGGTAGCATGTTAAAAACACAATGTATTTTCAAATTAACCTTTTGATTTTGCATAATCAATCAAAAATAAGATAAGCATTCTTAAATTGTTTTTTTTACAACTTTGCCCTCCCTAAAAAAACATTATACCACAAGATTCATAATTGCTGCCTAATTACAAAATACATTATTAACAACTCTGTTGATGAGGAAGTCCAATTTGATAAACAAGTTTTTATAAGTTTTTTTGAAAAATAGGATTCTGAATCAGTAGTTAGATAAAAAGTTAAAAATAAAGCAAGGTCACACCTTTTAAATATATATATATATATATATATATATATATATATATATATATATATATATATATATATATATATATATATATATATATATATATATATATATATATATATATATATATATATATATATATATATATATATATATATATACTTTTTTTTATTTTAAAATTTAAGTTAATACAATTCTTTAATGAATTAACTGGAATCATAATTATTCCAAAAAAAAAAAAAAAAAAAATTTATTTTTTTATTGTGATTTACTCCCAACAAGGACACTATTAAGCTGAGAGTTACTAGCAAAAAAAAGGATAAAGTTAGAGAGCAAAGAAAGGGTTGACAAAAGACTTTAAAAGTTGTAGGTTGTGTGAGTCAGGAAAAAATGAAGATGGGCAAGAGTTCCATAAGGTTGAAAAAACTAGATGAATAAAATTTTTTAGAGCATAAAAGGACAGATACAGTAAAAGAATGAGACTTTGCTGAATGAGAAGTCAAGCAAGAACGAGTTTTAGTTGATGGAACTAGAGATGATAGCGCCATTGAGCAGCAAACATGATAGTATTTGTAGAAAAGAGAAAGAGATGCAGAAAGAGAAAGAGCATCATTTGAAAAACCAGCTTAAATATGAAAACAGTATTCAATATAGGGACGAATAAGAGATTTGTTGAAGTAGAGAATATAATCAGGAGTAAGGAAATCACGATAAAAAGAAGCAACCTTAGCAGGTGTTAATTTAGCAATCAATTGTATATATGGTTTCGATAAAAGGTCAGTAGTGAATGATAATCCAAGAAGAAGACTCAGTGGGAGGATTGCCATTAATTAATATAAGAATGTTGTCAGTATTGTGATAGTTGTTTGCAGTAAATAACTGATTTTGTTGGAGTAAAAATTCACAAGCCACTGTAGACCCCAATCTGTTACAAAAGTGAGATCAAATTTGAAAACCCTTGTTAATGACACTGTTGAAGATTTTCAAAAAGTCTCTAGAGCCTAAATTCTGAAATAAGATAATAAGATATGGGATTTAGTAATAAGAAATAAGATACAGGATTTAGTAAACTGAGATTAATGGATTTTAGCATCAGACAACACTTTTTTACATTGATTTCTTGCAATAATAAATAGCTGTTTATTTTTAGGAGAACTATTTGTTTGAAAAAGCCGAAAAAAATGAGAAAATGAAAATGAAAATAAAACAAAAAAATATAGCAGCTGCACAAGAAGTTAAAAACCATGGTGTAAAATGAGACTTGACTTGGAACTGATGAGAAGGAATAAAAGTTCCCATTCTTGCCTGAATCCAGAAGGTTATGTAGGAGGCACATTTATCAGCTGAGAGAGTAAAGACATCAGCCCAAGGACAGTCACAGAAAATTATAAATAGAATCCCAGTCAGCTTTAGGGTAGTAATAAGTAGTCCGATGATAGGGTGAGTCCAAAGAAGTACGAGATGGAAGATTTATAGAGATCATTGCATGGTCAGAACCACCTTCAGCAAAAGGAGAAACTGAACACAAACTAGGGTCAGAGACAAGACACAAATCTAGCAGTGAAGGTAAATGATTAGGGTTGTCAGGAAAACATGTTTCACAAAGTTAACTATATGACTAAGAGATTCAGAAATGCAGAAGTTATAGGCTTAAGTGCCAGTAAGATCAGTGGTGTTAGAGCCAAGTCATTCAGTGTGATGAGCATTAAAGTCACCAATAACAACAATATTGGCAGAGGGGTAAAGAAGAAAGGCATGGTCAATTTGCATAGTGCAGACTTGAGAAGAAGAACTATAAAGAACAAAGAGAATGATGATAGAGTGAAAAGGTGCTAAACGGAAGCACATTAAAGAATGTGCTTCCGCAATTAAATAAACTTAGGAATCCTTATGTCGCCTCATAATATACACCAAAAGTATTAACAAGGACACCATTAAACTGAGCTTAAGAACTGTATCCTTATAAGGAGATAAGAGGAAGAGTTGCATAGCCACCATCAAAGTGGTGCAAGCTAAAATCTATTCTATCTACTCTAGTAGAGTCAAAAAGATCCAGCTTTCATTATCATAGGCAGGAAACAATGTAACACAGGTTTACATTTATGCCAGCCTATTAGATGAAGAAGGGGAGGTCGGTTTAATTATTCTGCTTACCTCTTAGTTTTCTTATATTTAGTTCCTAGTTTTAGTCTTAGATTATTTTATTTAAACCAAACTTTTATTTCTTTTACACTATATATTAAATACTGTAATCAAAGGTAGATGGAAACTACAAAAAAAAAAAAATACTTGAAAATAAAACCATTGATGATGACCGCTTGTGTTGATGTCAGCATTCAGTAGTAAATCATACTCATGACTTCTAACCTAAAAATTTTTCTTTTTATAAACAATTATTATTTATAACAACAACAACAAACAACAAGATATTTATTTTCCTCTAAAATACTTACAATAATTTAAGAATAATATAATATTATTGATAATAATAATAACAAAAATTATTATGAAATATCATTAAGAACAAATATAATTAATTGACAAGAATATTGTCACTCAAACAGAAACCGGATCAAAGGAGTACCAAATAATAATAATAATAATAATAATAATAATAATAACAGAAATTACAAAAATAATTAAAATAACAATAATAATATAATAATTCAATTCATCCCAGAGCTCTCTATTCCCTGTTTTTACTTTTCAATAAGTATTTTTGAAAAACCAGTTCTAATTTATATTTATATTGAATTTTTTTTAATTCCTATATCTATTTCTATTACTATTGAGCAATATTTACACAAAACCTTACAGATATACTTGAACCATAATTTAACAATGTAACCTGTATTGCTTTTCGAAGATTACCACTTTCGAAGCGAGACTCAAATGTCAAAGGATTGTTTTTAATAATTTCTAATTGAATTGGCCCCGATAAACTTCTAAAAGTATATAAAAAAAAAAAAAAAAAAAAAAAGCTAGTAAAATATTAAATTATAATTAAGAAGTTAAGAATTATTTTATATTTTCATTAATTAGATTTTTAAAAATTACTTGTGAATGTCACTTAATATTAACAAAGGCTAAAACTACTTCTTGTAAAACAACCTTTTATAATAACTTGAACAATAAAATAATTTTACGATTTGAACAACTAATTAAACAATTACCTAATTAAAGACTTGAACAATGAAAATATCTAATTTAAAAATTAAATCTTATTGAGCACTTACCTTAAAGAGGAATGTGTTTTAAGGTTAGGCTTCAGATTACAAAAATATTTGTCAGGTTTCAATGATTCATTTTCACAGTCAGCACTATTGCCAGAAGGGTATATTTCATGAGTAAGCTCATCTAAATCAAACACTGTGCGATTTATGATAGTATCTGGAAAAATGATTCTTTGGAAGTCTTCAAATATTTTATATCTAGAAAAAAGAAAAAAAATACTTTAACAAACAAAAATAATTTTTTTTAAAAAAATAATTTTACAATGCAACTTGGCATAAAATGTTGAATGCAACTACTTTATAGTTCAATATGGCATAAAATGTTGAATGCAATTGGAATAAAATATAAAATGTTGCATGCAATTATTTATTGCAAAAAATGAATTAAAGAGCAATAAAATCTTAAAATTGAATGAAAAAATTAAATTATAAAAAATTAAATTTATTTTAAACATTTAAACTTTGACAATAAACTTTATAATATAATTTTTTTTTTTACTTTCATAATATTCATGCAAAAATTGTAAAGATGAAAATGACCTTAAACTTGGTCCATGTCATGGCCCATGAAATAAAAGTTGTCTTAAGTTTTTTTTTTTTTTTTCAATCACATAAAATATAAAGAATTGACAAATAAATATTTCTTTAAAAATTGGTTTAAAATTAAAAAAAGCTTCAATTTTGTATAACTATAAACTATGAAACTTCCATCAATATTAATAAATTACTAATATCCACAGCTGCTACTACTGATTACGTATTTATAAATTTTAATGATATTGCATATGATATTGCATTACTTGGCCCAGGAAAATATTGCTCTTACTGTTGATGCATCTTGTGCTCCACCAGTTAATCTATTTGAGATAAAAAAAAATGACTAACACAAGCTAACATTTTCCACTATTTCAAATCTTTTTTTTTTTTTTGACATCTATGTATTCACTAAAACTAGATTTTTTACACTCAAAACGAACAAAATTAAAAGCTAAATGCATGTCAATAATTACATTTTTATTGTCACCCTTTCAAACTTTTATGTGTTATTTGCTACTTTGTTGAAAGCTTTTATAAAGTAAACTAATTCAATCCGCAAAATTTTTTTTTTTCCAAAAGCCTTTCTTGAAATTGCCTTACAACAAATATTTCATCTGTTATTTCCTTTTCTGGAATAAAACCAAACTGATTGTTATTGATACACTCCTTCTTATGCTAGCAAAAACTATTGCCAAAACCTTCATTACATAATTATAAAACTTTATTCCTCGTATAATTTGCATTCTAGAGTGTATTACAGATTCTTTACAGTCTGATTCCTAACATCCATCATTATCTAAACTTCCAGTCACTTGAGATTTTAATTTTTTGCACTATTGTGTTGATCTGATACCCACTAAACACTGACACCCACTGCACACCCATATCTCCTGAAACCTTTAAAATCTCAGCCAATAAATGTTGCTTTTCTGATTCTTACAAACAAATGATCTCAGATCAAATCTCAAAATATAGTAAACATCTTAAAAATGAAATAAAACTTGAAAACAGAGGAGAAACAGAGAAGCTTTCAAAACATAAACTTTAAAACCCTCTAGAAACCCTTAAACTAGTAAACAAACCATAATCATAGCTAATAAATAAGAAGTCACTTTGAAATTTTATAAGATAATTCTATCCTTCACTTACCGAAGTAAATATGGCTTCCTTTCTAAAAGAGGTTCTGGTTGATTAGGAGACATGTAATCAAATGTTGGATTAATAAGAAATGAAGAGATATGTTGAAAAGGACTTTTTTCTCTATAAAAATAAATTTTCACATTAAAAACTCATTTTTTGTTTATTAAATTTAATTTATCATTATAAATTAATTTAAATTTAATCTTGTTTATAAATTAGATTTAACTTTATTAGATTTCATGCTCCACAACAAAATCGAATTTGATTTACAAAAAAAAAAAAAAACAATTTAAGTAACCCTACTTTTAAAAAGTTCCCTCTAAGCTTTCTAAACAATTATAAAACTTGAGAAAATTTATGCTAATTATTATTAAGTTATGCTAATTATTGAGATTAAAAATATATATATATATATACATATATATATACATATATATATATATATATATATATATACATATATATATATATATATATATATATATATATATATATATATATATATATATATATATATATATATATATATATTAAAAATATATATATATACATATATATATATATATATATATATATATATATATATATATATATATATATATATATATATATATATATATATATATATATATATATATATATTAGGGTGGGTCGTAAAATTTTTCTTGTTACAGGCTCTAAACATTGCTAATAGTTATTAATATTGATACTATCAAATATGAGAATGACTGTGATAGATTTAAAGGGCGCAACTTTATTGGGATTACCGATACCCTAATATTTTGGAGAAAAAAAGTTTTTCAATAGTAGGTCAAACCTGGTACTCAAAAGAAGCGAAATTTTATAAAATTTATTAAAATAATAATCGTTTTATAAAAATCATATTGCAGAAAAAATTGTTATTTAAAAACATGTAAAAATGCACCTTTTTTACTTTTAGTTATAAAAATATGTTATTATGCAATAAAATCTATAATAATAGTTTTTATATGAAAAAATTATTATTTTCGAAATTTTTATAAAATTTCGCTTTATTTGAGTACCTACATCACATAATTTTGAAAAACTTTTTTTTTGAATAATAATAGGGCCTGCTAATTTTTGTAATTATAGTTGCGGGTGGAAGACATTGTTCAATCCATTAAAGTAAATACTTTCCTAAATTACTACATAAAAAAACAACTTTCTAGACCATAGCCAGGTTAGCAACTCTAAAAAAAAATTTTATGACCCACCCTAATATATATATATATACATATATATATATATATATATATATATATATATATATATATATATATATATATATATATATAAATATATATATATATATATATATATATATATATATATATATATATATATATATATATATATATATATATATATATATGTATATATATATGTATATATATATATATATATATATATATATACATATATATATATATATACATATATTTATATATATATATATATATATATATATATATATATATGTATGTATATATATATGTATATGTAGTATATATACTGTTACCCGCAGTATCAGGAATTAGCTAAATGCTAATATTTATAATATTATATTGCGACTTAAAGTTTCATGTGTTACCACAATCATCAGGCAAGTAGTCAAAAGTTAATTTTGCTACAATGTGTTTAGAAAAAATTTACGGTTTATATTAGTATTTTAGATCGTTATGGGACAGAAATTGTTTAGTAGTTAAGGTTAATGTTATTATTAATTTGCTTTTGGTTAATATATGTGAAGTTGTTGTATGTTTTAATGTCTGTTATAAAAATACGATTTAATAATAATGTGAATTGTTTTTAAAAAATTATTGTATTAAAAATAAATGAATATAAAAATAAGTTTCAAAAGTGGGTATAAGAATATAAATTATATTACGAAATATATTACAAAAGATGTGTATGTGAATAATTTATTGGTTAGCCTAGAGGTGTACGAAATAGGGTTGCGTAGTTGATGTTAGTGGTTAGTTAGGTTTGTAGCGAGCTTTGTAGTTTTTTAATAAAAACTTGTTTTCGTGGCGGCACTTTGATATGATTTCGTTTCGTTTATTTAGGAGTTCATCAGGTTTAGGATAGGATATAATTGCGAATTTCTCGTATAGACATAGTGGGCACCTTTTGGAAATATTTGAGTAGGGGGGTACAGATTTCAGAATAGACCATGTAAATATTGGGGTTTTGTTAAAATTGTTTTTCAAATCCCAGACGTAGTTTGATAAGGCGGTGGACTTTTTGTATTTAACATTATTGAATGATGATTTGTGATTGTTGTATCTGTTTTTCCACTCGCCTTCCGTTAATCCAATATACACTTTGTTGGGCTGATTTTTAGCTGCGATGATACATTTATATATAACGTTTGTGGATTTACACTTTCCATTCATGGGGCATTCTGCTTCCTTTCGATAATTGCATTTTTTGTTATTATTTTCATTTTTTGGGAAAATAATTTTTTTGTTATGGTTTTTAATAATTTTTTCGATATTTTCAGTACAGCTGTAGCTTACTTTTACAGTGTTTCTGTTAAAGACTTTATGTAGTTTGTGTGTTTTAGGAAAATTTTTGTCAAGTAATTTCGAAAATATTTTTGCGTCGTTAGTGGAGACGTTTTTGTTGAATGGGGGGTTAAACCATATGATATTGCATTTACGATTTCTTTGGGGTGGATTTTGTTTAATATGATATTTTAGTGAGTTGTTTTTACATTTTTATAACATTTTTATAACATTTTTATAACAGACATTAAAACATACAACAACTTCACATATATTAAACAAAAACAAATTAATAATAACATTAACATTAACTACTAAACAATTTCCGTCCCATAACGATCTAAAATACTAATATAAACCGTAAATTTTTTCTAAACACATTGTAGCAAAATTAACTTTTGACTACTTGCCTGATGATTGTGGTAACACATGAAACTTTAAGTCGCAATATAATATTATAAATATTAGCAATAAGCTAATTCCTGATACTGCGGGTAACAGTAATATATATACTATATAGCTCTAGTTTATCTATTGAGCACTCTTTAAAATATACATTATTTTACATGATAGTATAAAGAAATCATCTTTAATATTTACATATATGCACCCACGCATATAAATATATGTATATATATATATACATATATATATATATATATATATATATATATATATATATATTATATATATATATATATATATATATATATATATATATATATATATATATATATATATATATATATATATATATATGCATATACATATTTCTACTTTATTTTATCACTTCACCTCAATCATTTACAAATCACAACAAAAATGTGACATAAAAAATGACCAATCAGTGTTTAAAAATGCTTCTCCAGCTTAATGTATTGACATTCAAATATTAGTAATTGTATTATGTTAACTTATTTGTTACTATGACCTCAAAAATGTCAAAACAAAATAATCATTTTTTACTTATTACATAATATGTATTTTTTATTTAAAATATATAGAGTAAAATAGGGAAAAAATGAAGTAGAGGCTATAACACAATAATCATGACAATAGTTTAAAATGAAATAGAGGTTATAAGAATAAGAAGATATAAAATTTTATTAAAAATTGTTAAATTTTTTTGTAATCTTTTTTTTGTAAAATAAAAACCATAAAACTCTCAAAAGAAAAATCAGTAAAAAATTTATCCTGGATTTTTATTTTGATCAAAAAACTTTTTTCAAAATTAAATATTTAATTAAATATTTGAATTAAATATTTCTTAAAAAAATATTTGTCAACTGTAAGCTAAACACTTCAACTCTGGTGAAGCTTTACATGCAAAAAGTCACTAGACTTTAAAATACTTGTTTGTTTTTGCTCAAAATCAAAAAAATCAATCAGTCAAAGATTGAAATCGCTAATACATTTTAAACACCAATCTGAGACTTCTCAACCACTAAAACCTATGCCAGTACCACTACAACCACCAGTGACTATTTAAGCCACTGCCTCCTGAATTTACACCAACAACATTTTATATCAGCATTTGCAGTATTAGATTTGCTGTGTAGCATTCGCTATACAGTCAAATCCATAATCAACTTGCCTTCAATATTGTAGTATTCTGGCCATTTAAAAGAAAACTCAAAAAGAAGTAGAAAAAATTGTAACCAACCGAATTGCATGTAGCAGTAAATGAAAACATCTCAAGGTTTGAAGGGGATTATCACAATAAACCTAAAATATTAAGAAATTGAAAGATGTTGACAGCACTAAAGTGGCAAAGCAAACTATAAAACAATGTAAGTTTAACAACAAGCAGCAAATAAAACAAGAAACCACAGAAACTTCAACAACAACAGCAGCAAACCAAGTTAATTGTGCAAAGTGCCATCAAATTTTAAGCAAAGCTTCAAAAAGTTAATAGAGTAAGTGGTACTAGTTTAAAAACTCAAAATTGCTTTCACCAAACAAGCGATATGTAACAGGTTTTATTGCATTAAAAAATACCACACAAGTAACAACTTAATTCAACATCTAGAGTCTCTGGATGATTAAATTTTATCAAAATAATAAAAAAATCATCAATCAGTAGTATTTTTAATTGTTATTATTGTTTGTTCATAAAGTGTTATTATTGGCTGTTTTTTTAAAATATTATTATTTCTAGTTCCTTTTAATTGTTATTGGTTGTTCCATTTAAGTAGGAAATGTAAACTTACAGACTTTTTGATTTACCAGTAATTTGATAAATGAAAATTGTAATACAGGTAAATCGGTAAATTACCAATAAACTTTATATATCAACAAATCAATAAAACTTTTATAAGATATAATTTTTCAAAAAGTAGCTTCGTAGAAAGCTTAAACTATCCAATGTCTTGTCTCCTAACCGAGACCTAATTTTAATACGAATTACCCAGTTCCTGAAAATACTCTTTCAGGTTCAACACTAGTTGGACGAATGGTCCAACAAGTGTTGGACCATTTGACTTGTTGGTCATCAAATAGTCAAAAACTATTTAAATGTACTTCCCTCATGTATTTTCTTGTCGAAAGTACTCCAACTATTTTTTTATAACTTCTTTTAGACCTTTTGTGTTACTTTCTTTATTCTTGTCCGCTTGTTTTTAAAAAAAATTATGAAGTTTTTCCTTCATAGAAAAATCAGTATTTGGTTTAAGAGTAATGAGGTCATTATTTAAATCTGAATCTGATTCATTTAGATGTCTTTGAATACTCTCACCAGACTCTCACATTATTGTACAAAATATTTTCTACAATGTCAACAATAGTTTTCAAATTATGGCTTTACTACTGATATTATATAAGCCATAATTCTCTTTAATAGAAATAATATCATTAGGGTCTGTTATATAGTGTAACATGTCTGAAATTATCATTCTTCTTTCTTTAATACAACTTATTAATTCATATTTTAGTGCAATACTTAAAAAAGTGTTTTGGTTTCTTAACTCGTCTAACATAAATTTTAAGGTAAGATCGTCTACATATAAATTAACCTTTTCAGTGCAGAGTGTTTCAACGGCCAACCTAATAGGTTGCAAGCTTGATATTAAATTTGAAAGTAATTTTACTTCACTTTTATTAAAATCAATGTCAGTTTTTAAATCTATCAGACTTTTTCAAATAGCATCTTTAAGTTTTAAAAATCTTTCCAGCATGCTCAATAAACTACTCCATCTAGTTTTACAGTCTAAAATTAAAGAAAGTTCTTTTCAGACAGTTTCTATAACATATATTTGCAGTAGTTTATCATTTTTGGTTGGTGATTTTCTGAAAAGTTTTAAAACTTTACGAAATTTTGTAATTAAAGAATTTAGCTCTGCGTTTTGTAGTACAAGTTGGGTAGTGTCGATATCTTCATGGTCTACTTCAAAATTTTCAAGTTCAATTTCCGAATAATCAGAATCAACATTAAGTAATTCATTACCATCATGTTCATTAACATCTTGTACATCTGTTGAATTAATATTATAAAGTACTTTTATGATTGCCTTTTGTATGCCATGTATGAAACATAACTGATTATTTTAATTAAGTAAGATTACCGTTCTCTTATTAACGGCAGCTCTTTCTGATGTTATGCAAACAATATTTAACAAATCTTTAAGCTTCTTTTCAATTAGTTCTGTACATACCTCAACAGGTGCGAATCCATGAATCCAAGTCAATCCGAGATTCCAAAAATTACCGTCATTTCCATAAATAATAATATTTATATACCAGCAGTTTTTTATTTGATGTCCATTTATCTGTGGTAAGGCTATAAGCTTTTTTATTGAGCTTATTCTGTGAAATTTCCTTTACAACTTCCTTCCTTATTTTATTGGCATAACCCATTACTTTTTTGTGAATGATTTTGGGCGATTTTGGTAACTCTATGTACTCTTTTATTTTTAGTAACATCTTTAAATCTTCAGATGTACAAAATTTAAGTGTTAATATTGGTTGTTTCTTTTAATTGTTATTATTGATTGTTCCTTTTAAGTGTTATTATTGGTTGTTCCTTTTAAGTGTTATAATCGATTGTTCCTTTTAATTGTTATTATTAGTTGTTTTTTATAAATGTTCTTTTAATTACCCATCAATTTGAATATTCCATTTTCAAATGTGAGGGTAGAATAATTTTTTTTAATTAAAAAAAAATCTTTTTTAAACTTATTTTTATTCAAATACAGCTTATTAACCATTTTAGTTTTTCTTTAGGTCCAAAAAAGTTAACTTTTAACACTTTAAATTATTACATGCACTAAGCATGAAACTTTATTTAGTTATTATCAAATAAAACACATTTATTATCAAGTAACATACAATATATCACTTATAACAAAGTAATAAATGAATGAAGAAAAAAAACAAAAAATTAAAGCATAAATAAAGAGTTTTATAAAAAATTTTAACTGTTTAACTTCTCCATCAAAATCTTTTCCTGAATATTTTTGTTTGTGAACATTGTGTTGTGAATGCAACTCCTATGTAAGAAAACTACATTGTTATTTATTTGTTAAAACTGTTTACATTTCTTACTTTATATTTAAATCATGGTATATTCAATATACTATATGCAGAATAACTGAATCATTTATTGCAGTTTTGTTAAGTAGACTATATATCTATAAAAATCAGTAATAAGTTTGAGAAACCAGGGCTAATTGGCAGCAGGGGTAAGTTGACAATATTGCATTTATCTTCAGAACTTTGTATCAGATAGTACCAGAAATGTCAAGAAACCTTTGTATTTAACCATTTCATTTTTTACTGTAGTATTGTAAGGATTCACACATACACATAGGAGGTATTTTTTATACGCATACACATAAAAGCTATTGGGGTTTATGTGCTTTTTTAGACAAAAACATAACTTTTAGAACTTCACTGCAATTTTACTTTACAAAGTAAAAAGAAATAAAGAAGTAAAATTTAACTAGAAAAAAAGTTTTGCTTTATTATAATTACTCCTATTTACCACCAGCTTATTTACTAAGTAATAACAAATTTTTGGCTTTAAATTATTGCTAAAATAAAAAGTAGAAAAAATTCTATAAATTTTACACCTAGTAATACCTTAGTAATCATTATTAGCGCTTGGGCCAACTTACCCTGGGGTGGGAAAAGTTGTCAAAAAATTTTTCTACATTATGAGGCCCCAGAAGAGAGTAATACTTATTAATAAACTATTGAGGGTCCAAATTTTAAGGGCTACAGAGCACAAACAGTAAAAACAGAAGCAAATAGCCCCGGTCTCTCCTATATTTTTATTTTAAAATAATAATGCTAAATACTATGACAAATATGCCAGTATTAACTTTCTGTAAACTTGCTAATTTGTAACATAAACATTCTTAAAAAATTCCTTAGAGAACTGTAATTTTAAAATTAAATAAAGTATTTAATTAATTTTAGAAAACTAAAATAAATCATTACTTTTAATTAAAATTAAAGAAATATTAAACAAAAAAAAAAAAAAAGAAACATTCTTTATTTTCTTTAAGTTCAGGCATAAAATTCATGTAATCACAGATACTAATATTGACATGCGTATCTTTGTATGCATTTTCTTCCTCAATTTCATCTCCATTTACAGTGAGAACAGATAAAAAATTTTCTGTAAAACAAAAGTAGAAAAAAATTAAAACTTCATATTTAAAATAAAGAAACTTTAAGAAAACTTAATACAACAATTGCCTATTTCAGCAAAATGAGAACTTTGTGGGAGAGGAAATTTATAAAGGCTCAATAAACTACAAAGTGGTATTTTCTGCACAAAACATTTTCTAAGAATTACAATTGATGCTTTAACGAGAACATCAGTGTCTGGTCCTATAAAAAAAATAAAAGTAATTTTTATTATTAAAAAAACATTTTTTTTACTACAAAATTTTATGTATACAATAAAATATGATTTATAAAGTATTATAAACATTTTATAGAATTTATATTCAACTTTATGGTAATTTTTATGGGGCATAGAACTATTTATTCTTTTCTCTAATAAATTAAATATATATATATATATATATATATATATATATATATATATATATATATATATATATACATATATAAATTAAATATATATCTATATAAATTAAACATATATCTATATAAATATATATATACACGATATATATATATATATATATATATATATATATATATATACACGATATATGTATGCACTATATATATATACATATATTTATGTACATACATATATATATATATATATATATATATATATATATATATATATATATATATATATGTACATATATATATATATATAATATATATATATATATATATATATATATATATATATATATATATATATATATATATATATATATATATATATATATATATATATATATATATATATATATATATATATTACAAGACCCAACAAAGGAAATGGTATAATCGTTCTTAATAAATTATATAAATTCATTACATAATATTATAAGTAATAAGACTAAGTTTAAAGAATTAAAAGAGGATTACTAAACATCTTTCTCATTTATTGTCTCCTCATATATACATAAACAATTTTGCATTTTAGACTAAAAACAAACTAATGTAACTATTGTACTAATGTAAAATTTATTGTTTCTTCTAATGTTGAAAGTTTGTTCACGAATATTCCACTTAAGAAAACCACCAACATAGCAACTGATTTATTTTTTAAAGATAAATTAATGCAAAACGTTTTTCAATAATTCACTTTAAAAAATTACTTCAGATTTCCACATCCAGTTCATATTTTTTATTTGACGTAAAATATTACGATTAAACAGATGGTGTTGCTATGGGTTCTCCTTTAGCGCCTATCTTAGCTAATATTTTTGTCGGATTTCATGAACAAACTTAGGTCAATAACTTCTCCTTTACAGCACCATTATTTTATAAATGGTATGTGGATGACATAATTGCTATTTTTAATTCTGAATATGAAGCTCAAGAATTTTTCAAACACCTCAATAAACTACATAAAAATTTAAAATTTAATATGGAAAAAAAGCAAGATAACCAGATTGCCTTTTTAGATGTACTTATTAAAAAATCCAATTCGTTTTCGACTTCAGTTTATCAGAAAAAAACATATACAGGTCTTTTACAAAAATTTTTAAGTTTTATTCCTTCTTGGCACAAATTTGGACTTGTTCGTTATTTCAGAGTTGATTTTGATAAAGATATTAATAACCTTTCATTAGTTTTACAAAATAATAAATTTCCACCAAAAATTATAGACTCTGAAATTAAATCCTATATTGATAAGAAAATGAACCCATCTGTTTCTAACATTATTAATAGCTTAAATATAAGATACTTTAAGCTTCCATACATTGGAATGTACTCTTATTATACTAAAATGAAAATTTCAAAAATTGTTCATAAATATTGCAAGGATGTTCTAATAAAATTAATTTTCACTACTAATAAAATACAAGATTGTTTTTGTTTAAAAGAGTCACTTTCTAAACTGCTTAAATCTCATGTTGTCTATTAATTTTTTTGCGCTGGCTGTAATGCCAGTTATATTGGAGAAACCTGACATTTGGCAACTAGAATAAATGAGTACCTTAAAAGTGATTAACAACCTCATATATTTAAACACTTAAATTTATCTACTAATTGCAAAAATCTAGCTAACTGTGACTCTTTTGAGATTTTGGATAATGCCATAACCAAATACAAATTAAAGATAAAAGAAGCCCTCCACATTAAATGGGAAAGTCCCTCACTTAATAAACAAACTTCACATTACACTATATACTTATCTATTTAATTTTACTGTCAGTTTATTATTATTATTATTATTATTATTATTATTATTTTGACAGTTTGTTAATTTGATTGGTTATTTACCCAGTTATTTTGTAATAAATATATTGGTTTATTATGTATAATTTTTGTCCATTATTATTTCTCTGTAAAAACTTCTATTTTTTAATATTTATTTCAGAGTTTTATTATTTTAAAATAATCTTTTAAAAATGTAAATAAATTTTACAAAATGTCAAGAATAAAAAATATCGTGTTATTTTTAAAATTACTTATTTTATGCTATTACAATAATCACAAAATATATATATATTTGAGAGAGAAAAAGAGAGAGAGAGAGAGAGAGAGAGAGAGAGAGAGAAATCTAATTTATTGGAGAAAAGAGTAAATAGTTCTATGCCCCATAAAAATTGCTATAAAGTTAGATATAAATTCTACAAAATGTTTTAAATATATATACATATAAACAAAAAAAGTTTGAGTTTAAATAAAACATTTATTCAAAATTAAATATATACGCTCCAAAACTAAAACCCTTAAACATTTTAATACTTACTATCAAGTTGTTCCAGCCCTAGAAAATAAATTGTCTTGAAACCTTCTTCATCTATAAACGCTTTGCTTCCAATAGCTATAAAGTTATTATTGCTATTATTATTATTGCTATTATTATTATTATTATTATTATTATTATTATTATTATTATTATTATTATTATATATATATATATATATATATATATATATATATATATATATATATATATATATATATATGATAAAGTAGAATGAAATTAAGTCTTTATTTCATGAAAATATAATAATATACAAAATAACATATGAAAAATAATAATACTGTAATAAAATTATATATATATATACATATATATATATATATATATATATATATATATATATATATATATATATATATATATATATATATATATATATATGATAAAGTAGAATGAAATTAAGTCTTTATTTCATGAAAATATAATAATATACAAAATAACATATGAAAAATAATAATACTGTAATAAAATTATATATATATACATATATATATATATATATATATATATATATATATATATATATATATATATATATATATATATATATATATATATATATATATATATATATATATATATACACACACACATTGGGGCAGCAATCATTTTTTATGTTTATCTTCATATTTTTCTTTTTCTAAAAAATTAAAGTTCACATTTTAATAACATATTAGGAAATTGCTTTGCTAATATCAAGGAAAATGTGCACTTATGGTTTTTAAAATACTTAAAAAGCTGTCTCTATGAGTTTTTTAAAATATGCTACAGGGTTATTCATTCTTATATGCGCGTCTATTCATTTTTATATGCGCCTTTATTCATTCTTATATGCGCGTCTATTTATTTTTATATGCGCCTTTATTCATTCTTATATGCGCATTTATTCATTTTTATATGCGCCTTTATTCATTCTTAATGCGCATTTATTCATTCTTATATGCGCATTTGTTCATTTTTATATGCGCCTTTATTCATTCTTATATGCGCATTTATTTATTTTTATATGCGCATTTATTCATTCTTATATGCACATTTATTCATTTTTATATGCGCCTTTATTCATTCTTATATGCTATGTTTTACAAAAGCAATTGTAAAAAAGCAATTTGAACAAAAAAAAAATTATTCAAGCAATTTGTTTTGAAAAAACAGTTTATTTTTTCAAAACAAATTTTTCTTATTTCCAGGTAAACGAGGTTAAAAATACTTAAAACGAAGACTTTTTACATTCGATGATGGTTTATTTAATTTAGTATTAGTTCTTTATTTTCAATTATAGTTTATTTAATTTAGTATTAGTTCTTTGTAATTTTATTATTAAATTACTTGATTGATTAAGTTATTATTTATCTAATTATTCATTTATCTAGATTTAAATTTAACTATTAATAATTACTATTAATATCAAATTATACATCCCTATGGATGGAATAGAAAATAGCAGTACCAATCGTAAAACAAGGAAAAATGATAATCATAATATATATTATATATAATATAGTATATTATGATATTTTATTCATCAAAATAAGGTCAGCAATTTTTAACAATTTTTAAGATCTAATATAGTAAAACATTCTCTTTCTTTAAGAATAACATCGGTTTTAAAGCATAAAACTTCAAGTTATTATTCTAAACTCTTTTTTTTTTTTTTTACTTACAAAACATTTTGGATACTTACGAAATATTTTGGATACTTACGAAACATTAGACATGCAATGATAGAATGCAAAACAGATTTTCGAACAGCAACATGACTGTTTTTTAGGTCCCATTTATGCCAAGATTTATATATATTCAATAATTGTTTCATCAATCCAATCCTGATTGCTTTTTTAACACCATTTTCTAATGTAAACAAAAATTAATGACAAACTAATACATAATAAACTTTATACAGTAAAACATGTAAATATATGTATGCATAAATTCTCAACTACATACCAAGCTTGCAAATTGTAGAAAGCAAATCAAGAGATTTTCTATATAAAAAAAAACTTATATATATAAAAACAAACTTATATATATAAAAGAAACTTCACTGGCATATATAAAAAGTATTTGACACTTGAGAGTGTTCACTACAGTGAACATAATGAAATTTTAAATTATGTTAACTATTTAATACAGTATAAGCTAAACTTAAAAAAATAAAAAATAAAAACAATACATAAATTAAAAATACACTAAACCACAACTTACTTAAGAATTTGACATTTTCTATGTCCGCATGACAGAATAATACTTTGTAAAATAGTAACAACTCCTTCTTTTATCATTAAAGTACAGTTTACAGCTATGAAATTAAAAAATAATATTGAAGCTCTTATTTTTGTTAGCACACAAAACCACAACTTATAAACTGCAAATAATAAACTTAAAAAGATGAAAACAATTAAAACTATAACTTCACAACAACAGGAGTGTATATAATTGCTTAACATAAGAACGTACACAGTTGTATATGTAACCTAAAGCAGTTTAAAAATCTTAAAACTTTTAAATTTCTTTAAATGAAAACTTACAGCTGGTAGCATTCAATCTCAACACATCAACCGAAGCCAAATTCATTTTATCTGAGGTAGACAATTTTAACAAAAGTATTGTTGATTTCAGTGCTCCAGATAGTCTACAAATGGTAGCAAACTTCTTCTCTAAAAATTCAAAAACTATTTTTATAAATTTATTTGTAAATGGATTTTTATATAGGTCACTTTTTAAATAATGATATTAACTTCATTAATATCATTACTTAAAAAGTGACCTATATATTAGACCATTTAAATCCAGTGCACTGTTTGGTACCCAGAAACTGACTTGCAAAAATTTGGTTGGTTTTTCCATGCTGATGTATGTGTGAAGTTAATATGTCAAGATTATAAGTTTGAATGCTTTTTGAGGTGTTCTAAATGTGTTCATGCTTTTTATGTGTCTCCCATCCTTTTGAATGCTTTTTGAGGTGTTCTAAATGTGTTCATGCTTTTTATGTGTCTCCCATAGTTTTATTAAAGGCAAAACTTTATTATTTAATGATTCTTGATTATGGTTGTTACTAAAACCAAATAAGTACTTTTTAAATTTGACAGCTAACATTTCTTTACTGCAATATGCACACTTTTTAAAATTAATTAAAAACAAATCTTTTAAATATAAACTTTCATTTTTAGTTTAAAATATTTTAACTACCATACAGCACACAAAAGTTAAATTTGACTGCTAAATATAAAACAATAAAAAAACATTTTCTTTTTTTTTTAACTCTTTTTTTAAATTTTTTCATTTTTGGTACATTATTATGTTTTTATTTATTTGAAATCATTAACATTATCCACTTAATTAAAACCTCAATTATGATGTAAGCATGGAATATTTGTAAAATTAAAAAAATAAATCTAAACAACAAAGAAATTCCAAAACAATCTTAGAAATGTGGAAACAGAAAATATCTACTTTCTGTCCTACACTACCCTTTAATTCAGGATTTCTCTTTAGATTGCTAAAAATGCACAAATGTCACATTTGTTACAGAAATCGAAATAGTTTAGTAAAATAAATGTTATCGAAAAATAAAAGATATCGAAAATAGAAAAAGAATAAAGATAAAAACATAATGGTAGCTGCATTTTTACAGAAATCAAAATGGTTGCAACAATGTTAAAGATATCCAAAAAATAAAAAGAGTAAAGATGGAAACACTAACAATTGTAGCTGCATTGTTACAGAAATCCAAATGGTCCCAACAATGTTAAAGATACCCGTAATAGAAAAAGAGAAAAGATGGAAACTTATTGTAGCTGCATTGGAAATATTAGCATTTTAAAAATAATAATTATAATAAAAGCCCTCATAAAATTTAATAGTAAATAATCTTAAAAACTAAAGTAAAATAAGTAAAACTAAAGTAAATAAGTTAAAATTTTGTTAGAAGTAATTAGGTAAGTTTTTATGCATTAGTAGTTAGTTGATAAGTCTTCAAGTGTAAATTTAGGTAGTAAATAGGAAGCATGTATGTCTTCAAGTGTAAATTTAGGTAGTAAATAGGAAGCAGGTATGTCTTCAAGTGTAAACTTAGGTAGTAAATAGGAAGTAGGTAAGTCTTTAAGTGTAAATTTAGGTAGTAAATAGGAAGTAGGTAAGTCTTCAAGAGTAAGAAGTAGGTAAGCTTTCAAGTGTTAAAAGTAAGCTATGTAAGTAGCATATTATGAGTTCATGATAGGTGGGCAAGTATTAAAGTTGGTTTGACAGTAAACCTGAGGTGAGTTTGAGCTTATAAAATAACTTAAAATTACCTTTGTAGGCAACCTTTGCAATCAAAGCATGACATAATGCTAATGTATCGATAGATAAGATACTATTTTGCAAGATGGAAACATTAGCTGCTACTTTATTCAAACATTTAAACAATAATGATAACAACCCAACTTCTGCTAAACATGAAACACGGCTATCTAAAGTATACAATACATATAACAAAATTTTTCCTGTTAAAGTATGCAATACATATAACAACATATTTCCAGCTAAAAATGAAGCACAATTATGTGAAAATATTGTCAAATAGTTTTTTAGCTTCCAGTAAAAAAATTTAATTTATTGTAAAGCTTAAAATAAAATAAAATACCTGGGGAACATGCTAGGTAAAACGATTCAAGAATATTCTGGGTTATTTGCTGGTCTTTTGTACAAAAAACCTGAATTATAAATAAACCAAATAAAAAATGGGGGAGTTTTTTGACAAATTTTTATTTGCTATCTAAAGATCTAAAGTTATGCAATTTTCAATAAGTTGAAGCCATTACCACTCTAAATTTTTTTGTATAATAGTAATTTTGATAACTTTTCAAAACTGTTGCTTTTAATGGTTGTTTTTATGATTAGACTTTACCAGATAGTCCTACTCATCAAAAAAAATCATTTACATATTTGAGAAGAAAAAATTAAAAAAATTTGATAAAAAAGGTCTCAAAACCAAGCAACAAAAAGTTTAAATATTTTCATTAAACAGAAAATCCTAATTTTTAACAGTTCATTGGGGCACTGATTGAAACAACAAAACATTATACACCTTTTTTCATAAATCCTTGATTTTTATTTCTTTATAAAACTATTGAAAAAGTAAATGCAAGACACTTTGAATAAATGCAAATCAAATTAAGTTAAATGTTGAACATCAAATGTTTTTTTTATGTAGTAAGATCTTTATTCGAAAATCAAACACTCCTTATAATAGATTAAATATGCAAACATATTTTGTAAACCTAAGAATCTGGACTGGGCTCATTAGCATTTTTAAAAATCATAGAACTTAACTCACGTTTCAAGCAAAAACTTTTAAGTATAAAAAAAGGAAATTATCAATAACCATTTTATTAAAGATAAACTCTGGCTTTATCGAAGTCATTTAGTTCAAGATCTAAAAATTATATTTTACTTACATCTTGAGATATAACTTTGTTTTTTCTCACTTAATATCTGATACCGTTATAAGTTTTTTTTAGTAACAACATATACTTTTTTTAACATTTAGCATTTTTAATAACAACATATATGACATTTTTTTAACAATATATATATATATATATATATATATATATATATATATATATATATATATATATATATATATATATATATATATATATATATATATATATATTTATACATATATATATATATATTTATATATATATATATATATATATATATATATATATATACAAATAGTATCGCGTACTACTGTAAGCAATCTGACATCATACTGATATAGCCTGCTGCTGGAGGCTTCAGTACATACATCGACCGACAAATAGCCTGACTCGCAGTGGAGTGCTGCTACATCGACTGAGGGTTTGGGATTGGGAAGCAATCGTTTCATTCATCATTCTTCGTTTTTTCTTCTTCTTTTTCAAAAAAAACAATATAGCTTAAGGTAAGCAGAAAAAGTGAGCAAATGCTTATCAAAACACGCTTTAGTAAGTGTATATATATATACAATAAAATATATATACAAAAATTTCTTTCAAGACCTGTTGTTTATTAAGTTAGATAAGAAAAAATGTAACACTATTTTATATCCATTGTAAATAGAGTAAACATTAGCATGCTTCAAAAGACCTAATTCCCTATATTTATTTGCATGTATGTAATTGCTAACATATGGTAGATTGTAATGGGCCGCATATGCTTATAATGAATCTCTTAAACATTAGCGTGTCTCAAAAGACTTTCCTATACTTATTATAAAATGTTAATATAAGATGTTATAAAATACTTTTATAACATTTATAATATGTTATAAATATTATAAAAATTTTATATTTCATTATAAACAAACAAAACTAATTTTCTATTGGTTAATTGAATGCTGATTTCACTGAGGATTGATGTTTACAAATAAGATTACCTCAACAATTTGAAATAAAACTTTGATATTGTCTTGTTTTTGTAGCAGTTCTCTTCTATATAGATCTAAAATCAAACAAGAAATTATAGGTATTATCAAAAAATTATTAGTTATTAAAAAGAAATTATTGCTATTATCAAAAAATTATTAGGAATGATAATTTTTTGATAATAGCAATTAACAAATTTATTTCACAAAAATATTTCAATGCACTTAAAATATTTTTGTGAATTTTACTTTCAATTTTATTCCTTGTGTTATCAATGGCATTTACCTACTTTAAAGATTTTTTTTTTTTTAAACTAATAAATAATAATATTATTAATATATAAATAAATATTTACTCAACTCTTATACAACCTAAATTAATTTCATTGGAATCATTTCAATGTTTTAAAATTAAAAATTGAAGTTTACCACTTGTTGACAAAAGTTTTAATAATTTTCCAGTGAGTGTTTTCATCTGTGTGCAAGAAGTAGTATTTTCTTTCTGAAATTCTTCCCATTCACAAGATAATTGTGAAAAAACATGATTAAAAAGATGCCTAGTTTAAAATTAAAAGAAATGTTGAAAAGAAAATTTAAAAAATTGAAATGCGCAAATTTGTAATCAGTTTAAGTTCAAGTTGTGGGTAATCATAAATTTGCATTGAACAAACTAATAAATATATTTTTTGTGAGAAAAATTGTTGAAAACTTAAGGAACCTTGAAACCCATATTTAGAATTTAATAGGAAACTACAAACACAACTGGCATACAATAAACAGTTCAAAGTTAATAATCTGTTTATTCTATAAGCCATCAGAGTGCCCGAGGCTCAAATTGCCAAATAATCCACACAAAACTTTTTGCAAATATTTTAATTCAACTTTTTTAAATTTTAATTATTGTAATCTAATTCTTTTTTTATAAAGACTGGACTCGAACCCAGAATTACAAACTTGGTACTCCTAAAATAAGATTTTGAAATATAATTTTTACATATAAACTGTGACAGTAAAGTTATAACAGTAGGATTTTGATAACTCCCCCCCCCCCCCCATTTTTCTCTGAAGGACTTTTTTCTTTTTTTTAAAGAGAAAATTCGATTGTGCCCCTCCACTTCAAAACCTGTGTCATCGGCCATATAGTCAAATCACATTAAATCAAATATAAGACAATAAAATTATATTTAAAAAAAAAAAAATTTAAATACCTTTTAGGTTCAATTTGATTCATATCATAAATGCACGTCTTAAAACTAATTAATTTTTACCAAACTCCAAGGAAAACAAACACAACCAGAAAATGCATACTTCAAAACTAATAAGTATTTTTGGCTTGTTTTTTGGTTTTATATTATATTTACCTAAATTTAATAAATTCTTTGTATATTATAACTAATAAATGCTGGCCATATATGTATATATGGCCAGCATTTATTATATATATATATATATATATATATATATATATATATATATATATATATATATATATATATATATATATATATATATATATATATACCTATATATATATATATATATATATATATATATATATATATATATATATATATATATATATATATACCTATATATATATATATATATATATATATATATATATATATATATATATATATATATATATATATATATATATATATATATATATTATATATATATATGTATATATATATATATATATATATATATGTATATATATATATATATATATATATATATATATATATATATATATATATATATATATATGTATATATATATCAACACACACACACACACACACACACACTAATGCAAAATGGGTCATGGCGGCTTAATATAACCATAAACAACTTGTATAACACTGGAGTTACTATCAAAAGTGATGGTCTTGAAAAAACAGATGTTATTCTGAACTTATTCTGATTAAAGTTAATTACTAAAATATAGAATAATTTAAAATTTGTAATAACCAATATACAGTTTTAAATCAGGCAAATTTTTTTTACCATCATTTTCTTATCTCTAATATCTTTGCAATCATTGCTCAGCATCAAAGTTTCGATTATTTAAATTGGATTAAGATTGCTCAGCATCAAACAAAAATATCTTAAGGTTTTTGTTTTCAAAATAAATTAAAACTTAATTGGTGATTGTATTGGCTTATTAGTGAATAAAAAGCTCTTTGAATCTTCTTTCTCTAAACTCAATAGATTTTTCCATACTAGTAGAAAAAAAAAAATCAGGCAGAGGATGGTTGTCAACAGATTTGTTTTCATAAAAGTACTTCTTGATAAGAATTTCAAAATTTATCTTGGTTTGGACTTGCTTTATTGCACTTTGACTGAACACACCATAAAATTTAAGGTACGTTCGGTTTAAATGCAATATTATATACTATATAAATATTGTTACGATATAAGTTAACGGTAATCGTTATAAGTTAATAATATAACGATATAAGTTGAATATTTTTCTCTATTCAAACATATTATACAAACTATTTTGAAAACTCGTTGTGATTTTTAGCTAAAAATTGTATTTTTTCTTGATTTAGAACTAGCTCTAACATTTTCTAACTAGTTCTAACGGAACAAGAACTAAAGATAAAAGGTATGAAGTTAGAAGATAAAAATACTGTTACTTTATCGTTAGATAGATAAAATCACTTTAACGTTAGAAGATAAAATAATGTTACTTTATCGTTTTAGCCACTGTTATTTTATTTGGACTTTTAAAGCAATGTCCTATAGACAACATTTATTAGCCAATCAAAAACCACTAAATATTGCTAACATTACTCAATGCAATGATATATATTAAGTATTTATATATCATTGACTCAATGTAACTAAGGCCTGGTACACGTTTTTCCGAACAAAATTATGTTTTTTCAATTACAATATATATGTAAGTTTTTTCATCAAAAAGTATGACATATTTGGTATGTATGGAAAGATTATTTTAACCACTATTATAATCTGGTAAAAGTAATGCGGCTATAACAAATCGTCAAGCGTAGTTTTATTTAGAAAAGATGCAATTTTTAACATAAAGTACTTTGGGGCTTAGCTATAGATAAGTCTTTAATTCATAGACTTACAAAAAATTAAGTTCATAGAATGAACTTAATTTTTTAATAAAAGCACGTATTGGTGTTTGTTTTCAATGAATGTAACTTGACATTTCTAATCAGAAATTATTTAGGAAAATTATCAATGAAAAACCATTTTTTTATGAAAATTGAAGTTACTATTTTCAATACTACACCTAAATATACTAATTAAACAATAATGTCATGTTAAACAATTATGTCATGTTAGATTTAGATAACTTAACTAAATTTTTCTACGTCATTTTTGCATAATTAGTCATAACTTTTAGCCCCATTTAAAAAACTGTTTTCAGTATTTATTATGATTTTTTTAAATACTCGGAACTTATTCGGCCATCTTGAAATAATAAATTATTACATTCAAACTATTAAAAAACAGAGGCGGAAAATTTTATAAATAATTTACATTCAGTTCGAATTCTTTGTTTGCATAAATTAAATACCAACAAATAAAAAGTTTTTCGGTTTGCCGCTAACAACTAATCGGATTTGTTTTAAATTATTGGCGCTTTTTTTTTTACGAGTTTGTTCTATGCCTTAGTTGCATTGAGTAATCGTGTTGTTGCAGAAATAAACAACTATAACATAACTATAATGGCTGACGGAAAATTATTTTAGCAATTTATATTTATATAATACCAGTGGCGTCACTGAGGTTGGTGTCACCCAGTGCGGTGAACTCAGGGTGTCACCTCTCTAGACTTTCACTATGAATCTCTTCAGAGTTTCCCTGTACTAGACCATATACATAATTCGATTCCGATAATCGCTTAATGCGCTTATGGTAATCTTCAGAATAATTGCAGAAGTTACTAAGGACATAAGAAAAAAATTACACTGTTTAAGTAATTTAACTTTACTTTACTACTTCAGATGAAATGAAAAATGATCAATCACACTATCAAAATCAATATCTTTCACCATATCACTCTCAATTGACAACAGAGCCAGATCAGAAAGCCTTGACTGTTCCATGGTTGATCGCAAATAGTTCTTAATAAGTTTTAGTTTTAAAAAGCTCCTCTCACATGAAGCCAAAGACAAACAGATTGTAAGAAATAGTTGTAGGCTCAATGAGAGTATTGGAAGAGATTCAAACAAATCCCACTCAGCTATGAATTTCAAAACATTAAATACTGACCAATCTTTGGCCTTATTTAGAACAATATCTGCTGCCTGCAGGTGCCTTCTCAGCCTTGGTATTTCTTTCAGAAGCTCAACTTCGCATAACTCATAATAAAAAGTGGTCAATTTTGGAACTGACACTAGCAACTCTTTTTCAGTTGCTGATAGAAGACTCTTGGATTGAACAACCTTAAACATATCCACTACTTCTTTGATCGCTGTTGATCTAATCTGAAGTTTAGAGTGAAAACGATCTATGCACTCATGCATCGCCTATCTGTTTTCTTCTTGCATAGTGAGTACAGCATACTAACTTTGTTGAACTTTTTCCAGTCTGCCTGTCTTAATTTATTTTAAAATATGTATATGTTATTGAAAAAACTATGAAATTTCAGAAAAATAATTATTTTCTTAAAAAAGAGTCTGTAAGCAAGCTTTGTAATTTCCTGAAACCACTTGGCTCCACGCGTTCCAATTTTTGGTCTATGTTAAGTAGGTCTATTTACTATTATTGGTTCGTATATCTTGATTAGAATCAGACCTTATGTTGTATCCCAAATTAAGTAAGAGTTGTAATCACAGCCGTGATTACAATTCTTACTTAACTTACTTTAACCGTTAATTGCGTATTTGTAATTGTAGAAGTCCATTAGAAGTGGAAACATTATTTGATAGAGTGGTAGGTCATGACAGAGTTTACAGTCATGACCTACCAATAAGCTTCTTTTTATATGTTGTATATTGCTGTACTTCAAACAACTGACAAAAATTTGCTGTCTTGGTTTTTATATTGTTTTTCCCAACGAATTTTCATGTCTTCTTGGGTTTTTCCCTAAGAATCAAAATGACTTAAAGTTCATTCAAAAAGCACGTTGCTCAGAATTCTTGACAAAAAACCACTTTTATTTAAAGATGAACTGTAGCTAGCATTTGGTAAAAAAAAACGCTACAATTTAAACGAACAATTTAAACTCATTTCAAAAGATATGTTGACCTTTGAACTGCCAATCTTGAACTTTTTTTCAATGGAGACTATCCCTTCAACATGAATTGAGGCTAAGCGAGCCTTTTCCACTATTGAATTATTTTTGACAAATATAATTACTTACAATACTTTAAACGTCAAAAATGTTGTTAAATGACGTAACTAAAACGACATGAGTACCTAAATTGTTTTCAGTTTGAGAAAACAAAAATAATACTGAAAATAAAAAGAAAAAAAAAGCTCCTTAAAGGTCATTTTTTATCAATAAAACAATTGTTAATAAAACTTTTAGATCTTTTAAAGACTTTTTTTTAACTGAAAAAAGTTTTTATAACATAATTTTTTAATATCTTTTTAACAATTTTATTGATATTTACCAGTAAATTATGCCTGTTTTTTTTTTTAACCGATTTACTTGTAAAACTAAAAGTTGGTAAAAGCTCAATACTAAAACAGGATTGATTTACAAGGGAAATTACTTGCCTGGTTTTTAAGCTACAGATTAAATAAAAGTGTGATTAAATAAAAATTTTAGTTTTTATTTATTTCAACTAGTTCGTTTTTTTTGACTCTAAGAAGAGTCGACCCTAAAAGTGATAATATGGTTATTTTTTTCAGACAAAACTTTACTAGGGTTTTTAGGTGCTTTACATCTTTAAATTGTCAGGTATGGTATTTAGTTGATTTTCAACCGTTAAACAGGGTCGCCGAGAGAGAGGGGCACAATGGGCTTGGACTGGGTCCTCGGGATACCGGAAGATTCCCGGTGGACCGGTTGCCATAAAATATCATATTTTCAGTTAGGTTATATTTTATTAAAAAATCATATTTTAGTTAGGTTACTAAAAACGCGATTAAAGTTGTTACCTTATTTTGTGTTTTAAACACATGTGCAGTATTTTTATTGGAATCATACTTACTTTTCGATGTTTGGCATGAATTTAGCAAATTGAAATATATTTTCGTAATCGGTGAAAGATAGAGCTCTTACTAAGATATTTTGAAATTTTTTCATCAATACCTCCGAATTTGTAACATTGACATGTTACAAATATTTCACAATATTTCTACATCAATCAAATTCAATAATGAAGTCCGTTACAAAGCAAAAGCTCTTTAAGATTCCATGACAATTTTTGAATTTTTTATGACGGCAAAATTGTTTTTGAAAGTGTTTGAGAACACAATGCCATCATCTAAATATTTGCAAACTACTGGATATAATATGGATATAATATAAAAATATGGATTTGAAGTTCAGACTGGTTTGAAAGAGAAAAGAATTAAAGCCAAGAAACTACTTGAAATTGTGAAAGATAAATTTCGTGTCAGTATTCACATTGACACTGCAGTATATGCTGATTTATTTTGTTTAAACATCTCTTAAAGATGAGTATAATTTGCTATTTGAAACGGATTTTGAACAACATCCGACAATCTAAATCTGTTGAATTTAAAACTGTATTCAAATTTGTTTCTGGTATACAAATTTGTGTTGACATTATCCTCATCATAAGTTGCTTGCGAAAGGTCATTCTCAAAATTAAATATATTTTGAACAGATTAAAGAATTTGATGAGCCACTCAAATCATTTATGCTAATATCTCGTGAAAAAGACCTTCTTACAAGAACTAATAACAATGCAACCATTGATGTTATGGCACCAATTAGTCAAACGATAAAAAAGTTACTATACTAGTCAATAGTACTAATCTACTATTTAAAGACTTCAACATACAGCAGTGTTTTAGAAATATTTGTTTTTTATCAATATTTAGGTTAAAAAGGTTAAAAAACTTTTTTATACATAAAATAACAATAAATAAATGAAACATAAGATGAGGTGGGCCGCCATGAAAAAATTTCCCGGGTCGTTTTTCAAGCCAGTCCGACCCTGTTTGTGCCTCGGACGCCAAGATAATAGGGCGCCCCTACTATTTTGGCGCCAAGACTTATAATTACAAGTTTGTGTCTTTTGCCTTCACTGAGCAAGGTGACGAAGAGAATTAATATAGATAGGATTATAAAACACTGTGTACAATCTAATATTAAAGTCTCAGTATGGGTTTGTACAACACAAAGGTTGTCTTACAAACCTGATTGAGTCCTGCCTTACAAACCTGATTGAGTCCCGTAACATTTTAATGGAAGCAGTTAAAAATTAACTTAAACACCTAGTTAAACATTTTTTTATTAACTTTGCCTGTTGCACAACAATTTCTTAAAAAGATTCATGCCTATGGCATTTGAGGCCAGCTAGTAAACTGGATTGTAGGTTGGCTTGCTAATAGACATCCGAGTGGATTAGGGTGACAAGTGGTGTCCCTCAAGGATTAGTTCTTGCATCACTACTATTTGTGTTCTTCATTAGTGATTTACCAGACTGCATTTAAAACTATACCAAATTATACGCTGATGATGGCAAGATTGTAAGAGTTGTTGATGTCAATCAATTTTTCTCTGGTTATAAAAAACTGCAACCGGACATTGAAAGGGCTGTGAATTGGTCGCATAACTGTTTTGTAAATTTCAACTTTGGGAAGTTCAAAGTAACGCCAGTTGGTTGTCGTAAAAACTAATTAATAATGACATTGATGGCAAATAAAAGTTTGGTTGTTTCAAGAAGACATTTTAATGTCGGAGCTTTTCATCTATGGAAAAAACTCTACCAGCTGTACATTAAACAACATCTAGATTTTTGTGCGCAAGCCTGGTCATTTCTTCTTAAACCAGAAATTGTTCGTGTCCAACAACGCGCAATATTGTTCAATATTGTTTAATTTATTCTATAACATCCTTTCTTTTTTTTACACTTTCTCATCAAACTCAGAAAATTGTTTTAAAAAAATGACCTGTTTAAAAAATTGTGTTGCAAGAGGTATTGTTGATGTACCATGGTACATCAACAACTGTTGGTACCAACAGTAAACTTTTTTAAAAGTATTTTTTTACTAATACTAATTCGACCGCAGCAATTTCAATCGTCTGCATATAAAGCTTGGTGTTGTTGTTTTTTTTATCAATATTAAACTTTTTATGTATAAGTTTTATTATTGTAATAACTAAACAAAAATTCAAGACTTTTATTTTTTTAGCTGCAGTTCCGCTGGATGGATCTACTTTACAAGCTTTTGAACACCAGAAGTTCAGCTCAGATTGTCGATATTAAACTAATTGCAAAACGACCACGGAAAATTACAGCTGCTCTAAAGCCGTAGCTTTAGCTTCAACCAGAATATTGACCAATGATAAGTAAATGAGTTGTTTTGGCAATAAAACAAAATTTTTTGCAAAGTGACTGATGATAGCAAAATTGGATTGAACCTGGATACGCAGTTTTTCATATAAAATATGGATGTAAAGTAACATTAATAGAAATAAGATCGCATTCATTAGCTTGTATAATTTTACATGCTTTTAATCTAAAATTATGCATGTTTAAAGGGGCGCCTTATTGCAGCTATGACCCGGGCGTTATAAAAGCTCTCGGCGGCCTTGCCGTCAAACAGATATTATGAGTTTTATACATAAATGTATGTTTTAAAATTAGTGACTTTTATATACGTACAAGCCCTATGAAAGGGGGAGATGTTGGTGCGCTGCACCAAAACCCATAAGAGTTTAAGGGCCCATAAGTAAAAACTTTTTTTTTTTTAATTTTAACAATCTTTTTTGTTATATGTCTTTTATGTAGGATATAAAATAATAAGATTTCTTAGCACTACCAATTATTATTATATGCATTATTTGAGTCTAATTAGTTCAGACCATGTTTTTACTTTTATAATCTGACTATTTTTTTTTTACTTCGAAGTATAAAAGTTAATTGCATTCTAGCGGTAAGTTACCGAAAGTAAAGGAGATCATACTCCGCAATTAGAAAACTTGTGATTTTCCCAAAGATAACTTATTATACCAATTTTGGAACTTATTAAATTTTAAAAAACTTTATAATTGTGGGAATCTAAAAAAAAATCATACGTTGAATTTTGATGTACAGAATACTGCATTTGGCATCATTTTGAACATGAAGACGAACAAATAAAAAAATAAAGTCTCTAGCTCTATTTAGGTCTCTAGGTCCTTTTTTTTTTTTAATATATAAATTTTTAGATAAAATTAAATTTTATCTTAATATAAAAATAGCAACTGTTACTAAAAACAAAACGAAATTGTTGGTGCGTGTCAAACAGGTGAATTTGCGTGCTATGAAATCTTTAACTTCATTGTAAAATAATTAATTAAGTTTAGAGATTAGTTCACTTTTAAATGGGATAAAACGATATATTTAGCATCATTTTTGCGAATTAACCCTTTATTGTTCACTATACGAAGACATTGAGTAAAAATATTCCTTTGGCAAAAAACATAGTTTTATATCATTAATTGCAAATCCGAAATATTTTTTTTACTACCATCAGCAGTTTTCAAATTGCAAATGTATATATATAAATATATATATATATATATATATATATATATATATATATATATATATATATATATATATATATATATATATATATATATATATATATATATATATATATATATATATATATATATATATATATTTGAATAAACACACCTTAAACTAAACAACTTTTTTTTATTTAAACATGAACAAATGTTACATTTTTTGCAAAAAAACTCATTTCTAACCTTACATAAGCGACATATAAGTTTCTTCTCAAGATGTTCAGGCCAATGATTTAAACAATCAAGATGAATATCTCTATTTGGTAAAGAAATTGAATTCTTTCGCTTTTATGGTATCACTTCCTTAGACAATTTTCCTTAGACAACTTTCTTGTGTTTTTCATATTTTTATCATAAAAAGCACAAACTAATGAAGAATTAAGTGTTTTAAATATTTGATAATAACTATATGTTCCTTTAATATCAGTTAGGTGTTTCTGATGTAATAGTAATGTGTTTTTTAACATTTAATATATGTAAGAGTTAAACCATAACAGTGTTATGGTTTGAACCAAAAACGAATCGCTGTAGTTCATAACAGCCAATTGGCGGAATCAAAATAACTGATTAGATATTGATAATATAAGCAAACATTACAAAGTTGGTTGCATGCTAATAATTAAATTCTAGGCTTCAACTAATAAATAAACTAAAAACATTTACATTAAAATCAGTAAAACCAAGTATACAGGTCATTCGAAAACACGAGACTTTTTAATGTAAAAACATAATAACTTTATTGACGTACTTTATAATATCCCATAGTTCAGTCTCGCATAAGTTTATTGCAAAAAGATCGTAATAGGCTAGGATTTTATGAAGATATTTTCCAAATCTATCAAAATTCAAAGTACTTGTCTGATTTAGATATAAAAAAGAATGCCGCTATTTGGCGGTTCTATCCAATAAAGGGGTTTTAAAAAAACGTCAATATTTTGACCATGTAGCGGTATTTTAGTGTGAAAAGTAAAATATAATCGGAGATTAGATTTATCATTTAATTTCAAAAGAAATAAAGCAAATAATAATACAAATATAAATCTATATTTTTACTACAAATATTACTCAGCTAAATAAAAGTATTAAGATCGTTCTTTGTAACCTTTTTTGATATCTGCTGCCGGTTACTTTGGACTACCTAAAAATATAAATACATTAAGTAAATATTATATATTAACCATTAACCATTTTCTTTCCAGAGGAGAAGTTTGGTTTTGGAAATATCCAACAGCAAAAACAAAAGGTAGGACTGGTCATTGACAAAATCATCTAGTTTAGCCGTGGGAACAATTTCTAGATAGATTCAGGTTGTTTTTTTTTAACCAGATCTTGTAACTCCAAGGCATTATAGGAATGCAACTTATTTAACATATTGTTCTTAACTTCAACTTTGAGCTCCTTATCAGCAAGAGCAAAAAAAACTTGTTGGGGGAACAGGTACCAAGTGTGACGGCTGAGACTTTGCACTAAGAACCTTTCCCACAACTAAGAACCTTTCATTCATCTTAATTGTTTAAACTTTTCCCACGACTGAGAACCTTTCCCACAACTGCAAGTTCTTTAAACTTGTCCATTGTTTGTAGCTGAAAAGCAATATTGAATGCCATCAAATCATTCGATGGTGCTTGAGAAGTCAATGCGCATTTCAGAAAAAGAAGCCGTGAAAAAATACAATGTAGTTGGTTGCAGCCTTCAAATTACTTAACATGCTTATATTACCAGATTCGGAATCAACTGGGTAGTACATTTGAGTCATTTGAATCACCAGCAAGTAGATACAGTCTGCCATAAATCTTGCTTCATAATGAGCTTCTGGTTGTTTAAATGTGAAGTTGGTAACTCAGCTCCTAGAAAAAATGCCAGAAGCTCACAAAGATACCTGTAATCTCCTCTCTGGAAAGTACTCTCACGAAGAGCTGTGGTACAGAATTCTTTTGTATCTGATTCAAGTTTGTACAACAAAGAGTGAGGTCTAAAGGCATTTTGAGTCCAGTCAAATTTCACAATTCTCTCTAGTTTGTTTACATCTTCATAAGTCTGTGGCCAAAGTTTTTGGAGAGTAACTTATAGCTTCCTTCTGGGACAATTGGTTTGACCATATATTTCCTTCATTACATGAGCCACATGCCTTTTATAGATGTGATGTCTGCACATTAGCCAAAGAACCGGTCTACCTAGGGCATATGAAATAGTAATGCTCATGGCACCTTTTTGTCTCCCAGTGTTACTGGATGTTGTGTCCGAACACAATCCAATAATCTGATCAGACATCTCATGTTATTCAAGCATAGCTTGAATGGCAGTAGCTAGATTACTTCCCTTAGAACTTTCGATTTCTAAGATGCCCAGAAGGAAGTCTAGACTCATAAGCGCATCTTTACCAGACTCTGGTAAAGATGCGCTTATGGCAACTCTATCTTCTTTTTTAGATGAAGATAGAATTGCCATAAGCGCAGATAGAATTGCCTTTTTCGCAATTGTATCTTTTCAATATTTTTGTGTTCAAGTGTACCACAATTTTCAAACCCCTTATTTTATCTAAGTTTTCCTCCCTGATCATCTGTGCCTCAAACTCCACAATAGTATGTGTCTTCCTGTTTAGAGTTGATCTTGATGTAGGGATATTATCAATGTCAACACCACCAGCTTTGTAAAGAGAATTCAAAAAACAAATACATGGTCTGACTCCAATTCAAAATCTGGTCATAATTGGGATCTAGTTGAGAAGAATGTCTCCCAGACTTACTTGAAGGCAAACTTTGAAGTCATTTTGAAATCCTTCCAAATAGTTACTTTCTTTTTTCTTATTTTTTTCCGCATGCCTTTGGATCTTCTCTGAAATTTTTAAAAGTTTTCCCTGTGCTCTGTCAACATTTTCATTAAATATATTATTAACGTTGCCTAACTTAACCATATCCCCTCTCAGACAATGCCTCAAAAATTTTATGTCTTCACTCTTAGCCTCGTCATCCCTATTTTTATCACTTTAATTAAATCATATATGTTTGATTTTTGAATAGAAAAAAGCGCACTACTCTCTTTCAAAAAGCTGTTCACCTTCTCTTTGTAGCTGCCCTCGGGCAAATCTAAAGTTTTAAGCATTTTTAAAGTGTGATACTCTTTAATTTTTAAGGTTATTCTGTTCTATATGTTCGGTCACAGTGAAAGTATCGTTAAACCCAGGTTGTTACCACAAATTGACTAGCTTCCTTAGAACACAAACGTTTGTATTTAACTGCTTGGTGTTCTTTCCGCACACTCCGTCAGCAAATCTGGAGCATCTCAAATAAGTCTTACCAGAAGCAACTGAGCAGCTAATTTTGAGGTTGATTTGTGTGATACTAAAACGTTTCAAAAATTAGTTAGTAACTAATTTACATTAATTACGTTAGTTAGTTACTAATTTACCTTGTGTTTTTGTCGAGATTAAGCCAGTAGTACTTTCTGAGCATTTCTCCATTTGTGGAAAGTCTATTGGGGGCAAACCTCTGCAAAGGAAACCCAAGCAAATACAACTGTTTTCGTTTCCTTGTAATTTTCGACGGGTTAACACGATTTAAGTGAGTTAAGTATCTGATTGTCGCGCTCTTTGTGTAGAGGCATTATCTAAAATCAACTATTTTTTGTTTAAAATAAAATCAGAATAGTTGGATACACATTATATTGGACAATTTTTTGATTATTATTATTTTATTGCCATCTTTGATTTACATATTTATTATAAATAAATTTTATATTTTGATAATATTAGAAATAAAATTTTGAAATTTATTTTAATTTAATATTAAATTATCCCACATTAATATTTAATAATGATTATTATTAATAAAAAAATAATAAATAAATTTTGAAATCAAGCTTATACCTGAATTTTAGTAATGGAGTCGTCCATAAAGTACGTACGTCAAAAATTCTG